TCAAACTTTAAAGATGTAGAAGATATAATTTTATAACTTATTTTCGATAAGGGTTTCTATCGATAAAAAAAATAACGGGATGAGTTATCGATTTTTGGTGATGAACTCGATATCCGCACTATATATACGGACATTTAAAAAAAATTTGTTGTCACTAGATCTTTTATCTTCCGAGATCGACGCGTTCTAACATACGGACAGACGGACCGACAGACATACGGACATACGGACAGGGCTAAATCGACTCAGCTCGTCGCCCTGATCAAGAATATATATACTTCGGAGTCTGCCACGCCTCCTTCTGTCTGTTACATTTCAACAAAACCATTATACCCTGATTTCCCCATTCTCAATGGGTTTAGGATTTAATAAAAAAAAATCAGCAATGCAACTGCGTAGCTCAAAAGCTCGCTGTGGTAAGGTTTCCGTGGGGAAATGTGCGCAGCCGAGTAGAATAGAACCGAAGGCTGCGAGCGCAGTTTTAATTAGTTTTGAACACTCGGAGCGAGCAGCTTGAATTATTTCGACGCTCGGCGCGAGCGGCCGCGTGCATTTTTGATTTGAACACTCGTCGCGAGAACATTCAACAATAGGGGCCGTGGATTTGGATTTATAATAAAATAAAGTAAGCGTGGTGTACTCATGTTATCACGCCAATCTGGAGGTACACGTTTGGGGAGTCGCCGTCAAGAGTAACCGCCAAAGATTCAGGCAAACAAAACAAGTAAGAACGTTGCAGTCGGGCGTTACCAACTGCGGAATACTCATTCACATCCCATCAACAATTTAGTAGTTAAGTGTCGCTCTAATACTGTAGAATTACAGGTTTTTTCGATTTGCCACGCGCCAACTGGGTGTAGACACCTCATTTTTGGTCAGTTTTTAGAACGAGATAACGGTACCCTAACTGCAAAGTTTGAATGCTTACCCTCAAAAAAAGTGAAAATTACAGGGTATTTTTCGATATGCCACGCCCCTAAAGAGGCGTAAAAATTATTTTTGGGGAATCGATAGAGGAGGCTACCAGTAACTCAACTATCCAATTTTAAGCTTCTAGCTATTATACTTTAGGATATATAAACTTTTGCGGTTTGCCACGCCCCCTGTGGGCGGACATATATCCGACAAAGCTTTTTGGTCTTGGCTGATCAGTCCGAGTATATATACAAAATTTGAGGTCTCTTGCATCAATAGTGTCAAAAATATAGCAGAATATAAAAAATCACTATATCTTCAAGTCTGATTTGCCACGCCCCTAATGGGCGTAGACTTATAATTTTGTCTTTAGACTTTATAGAATCATAACATTAGCTGACGTGCAAAATTTCAGCATTCTAGGTTTACAACTTTAGGGGATACAGTGTTATCCGATTTGCCACGCCCCCAATGGGCGGAGATATATCCGCCATAGCTCGTGATCTTGGGGGTTCGATGCGGACTTACATACCAAATTTCAGCTTTCTAGCTCTTTAACTAACATGATTTTCTGGAAAATGCATTTTCCGATTTGCCACGCCCCTAGTGGGCGGATCGGGAAAATTTTAACACTTTATAAATCAGAGATATACACGAGTATGTGTTCCAAATTTCAAGTCTCTAGCTTCAATAGCACCGAAATAGATTGCGTTCATACGGACAGACGGACAGACGGACGGACGGACAGACGGACGGACAGCAAGACGGACATTGCACAAAACCAATATACTGATTCACTTTCGTGAATGAGTATAATGATTCACTTTCGTGAATGAGTATAACAAGAGAGATAGGAGCCAAAAATAGCAGGTTAGGCATTATCTAATTCGTAGGATCATTGAGCATGCTCGTAATACTAGTGCAAGTACTAGTCCAACCGAAAACGAGAAATATAACTTTTGCAAGACATTTAGGTATAGCATCAAGTTAGGTAAAAAGCATAAAGAGCTTCTATTACAAATGGCTTAGACTTTCCAGAGCTTCCGTATAGCTTAAAGGGCCTAACACCGCTATAGCAAAGGCTTCCTTTTATGATAACTCTTTAGGAGGTGGACGCCAAAATGCCATTAAAGGGACTTTGGTCAATGTACCTATTCCTGCTGAGATAGTACAGATTTTCATGACTGAAACTTTTAGGCCAGCAAAAGTGGCTGATGCAATTCGCTTTTTAATCGGCACAAAGCTTTACAGGAAGCACCAGGTTACTGTTAATGAACAGTAGCTTTCCTCTTTATCGTCTGGCGGAATTTCATTCGTTGCATCACCTGAAGACAGGGACTTAGTATCAGAATTAGTGCAAAGATCTGCTCAAGCCACAACAAATTAGCAGAATTGCAAAGAGTTAGAAGATATCAACCCAGGATGCCAGGAAACACTTTTAGAAATTGTGCCTGAAGATAATATTGCGATACAAAGAATAGTTATAGCTCGAGGAGAAGGTCAACTTCCATTAGATATGATCGAAAATTGCGATTTAGAAGACCTGGCCTTTACAACTACCCTTTTAGGCGTAACAAGGAACTTTAAGGAACGTTTTACAACCATAGTTAGATCAGAGCTTAAAAATTTGGATAGAAGAGAATGTTGATAACTGACAAATTATTTCTCAACTATAAGAAGCTAGAAATGATTAATATAAGGAATAATACATTTGTTTTCTTACGTGAGCACAGCGCCACAAACGGCATAAGAGCAGCAAACGCTCTTAAGGATGGCTAGAGAATTTTAAAATGCATTTGAATTTCGCCTGCTCACTGGGGAGCAGAGAAGAACAAAGTCATTGCTATAATCAGGCAATTGGGTCTTCTGACCTTTTTTATAACATTTTCGGCAGCAGGACATGGACGGAGCTATTAGTAACTTTCTAAGAATGTAGATAACATAATATTTCAGAAGAAGCAGTACAGTCAGCAATATTAGTACTAATCGTTAGTTTGAACGTGGCTTCAGCCTGTTCGCCGGACGAGCAAATCTCCGGCCGGCGGCAACGCTGGGCGTTCCACGACCCGCGGATCCGTGCCACTAGCACCTGTAGTGGCCCTACTACCTTCCTATGGCGCGTCCGCGCAACCCCCTACCCCGGATGTGGCGCCATATTTGAGGTACCAGATCCACAATCACGACCACTCATGTGGGCAAGAAATTTGTAGATTCGGTATTCCATACCTTACTATGCCCCAAACAGAAATTCTATTTCCATATGTCAGAAACTAGTTATGGTGATGTATACATAAATACATCACTTTCCGCAAATCGAGTAAAAATGTTGAAGTCTAAGCAGCAATTGGAAATTTTGCCTGAAAGTTCCACTGATATCCTAGATCATTATATTCAGCGGGATATCTGAACGAAGACGTAGGCACCTTATCCTCTTCAGGATGAAAGTGGTTTTACGCGGAAGACAACTAAATTATCGACATAAACATCAACAAAGATAGGCAAAACTTTACTTTAGGGAATTAGTAATATTATTCTTTCATTGAAGGCAGGAGCAGATCGAATTAGTTAAGCAAAATAGTGATGAATTTTAATATATGAAAGGCGAAATCATATATAACGAAGGCGACAAATATTTAGGGATCGACCAACTGTGTTAAAATACGTTCTCAGAGAAGTAATTGAAGGTGAGGATGAAGTAGTTGATGATTTACCAAAGCAAGTAGTTTTAGAAGATGAAGAATTTTATCTTAGCATTTCCAGAGATTAGCTGTCAGTTAAATCTTTTAAGCTTAAACCCAATCGCAAGTGAAGAATCGGACAACAATATTCGTATTGCCAGAATGCGGTAATTTATCAGTAGCTGACAAAATTTTATAATAGTCAGCCAGGCTATAATGCCAATTCGGCTTAGGTACTTTTGTATGCTCCAACAGTAAAAGCAACTTTTGGAATAAACGGTTCCACACTACACACAATGTTTTCACTCCCTGTAAATCAGTCAGGAAATACATTTAAGGAATTGGGTGCTGATTTGCTTAACACTATAAGATCAAATTTATTTGATCTTAATCTATTAATAATTGATGAGAAATTAATGGTTGGGGGACAAAAATTCAGTCTTATGTGGACTTTCGTCTTAAACAAATCTTCAATAATCGAGAAGCTGCTTTTGGAGGTGTGTCAGTTATAGTTTTTTGTGATCTTAGGTAAGGATGTTGGTATAGGATGATGTTATAGATGGATATTTCAATCCACTTCTGAATTACATAATCCTTATAGTGCTATATTTGGGTAATGCTTCAAATTCTTTGAACTTACAGATTAATGCGTTAGAGAAAACTGGCTTTTTATAGGAAATAGGTTCCAGCTCAACCACACCCTCTATTTTGTGAACTTCAGTACAGAAAACTATTAAATGTTCCAATTTTTAACAAATAAGCAAGTGACAATTTATCGTTCCCCGTAGTACCTGCTGAGGCTATTACTATTTATAAAAGCCAAGGTGATACTTACAACAAAGTAGTAGTTAATTCATGATTCGTAATCAAAGAATGCAAATTGTGGCTTGCAGTAAAGCAACCACGGCATCTGGTCTCTGTATAATTGGTGATTTGATCAACGGTATATACTTTAACCTAATATTTCATAATACTGAAATTTCGTCATATCAGATTATGTTGAAATCTAATATTCTGTGCTTTGTTGAAACCAGCACATATTTAAATGAGCCTATTGATATTTCAGTTTTTTTTATGACTAGACGACATTCGCAAAAGTCGACAAAAACAAGGTATTATGGTTTACATTAAAAATGAATTCTACCATGATGTAAATCATACGTCGGCAGCTCGTTATTTTGACGGACCACATGTTTTTGAATTTTGCTTCCGTCAGATAGAAATTCATCACGTTTTTAATCGTATATAGAAGTCCAACATATTTGCGAAAATTTAAAATTGAATTTAAGCGGGTATTTCAATTTGATTTCTTGGTGCAGTAGTGATGAGAAAGACTGGAAATTCGTGTTAATCGATTGATTAAGTATCGTAGTGCAATTAAAGTTTGTATTGCCACTGAGAGACAACAATAGCTTTTGCTGAACGTGGTCCCGGATGTCGCTGGGTGTGAGCGAGACGGCTTGTCATGTCGTTCGCAGCAGGGTCGCTGTGCTTTCGATGAACAAGAATATGCGACCATGATTAGAAGTTTCGAGAGTAGACGAGAGGAGACACTTGGTAAAAGACGATTGAACGAGTAAGAGCATTAAAAAGAGTTTAGCGACACACCGGGAATTCGTTGTTAAGCGCAGCTAAGATGGAAAACCAGAATGAGAAATGCAACGCCCCGACATATATATAACTTGTGCTTGAGAACTATATCCGGTTGTTGCAAAAGAATTTATAATTTTCTATGTTCAAATAGTTTTGATTCTGTTTTAAATTTAGATTCATCATCCGATACCCACATGGGTGTTTTCTAATTTACCAAGTGGCACTAGTAGCGCACACACCTGTGAAATAATGTATAGCCATCATAGTGGAATTTCTTTAGGGCTTGATTTAGAAAGATATATGTATTATACATACAATATAAAATTATGTTAATGTTTATATTATTTATTTAGTTGACTCATTGACTATGACTCATTTCAAGTCGACTCGAAGGCTCTATAAATTAAGTTGATCCCCATTGATATTTCGATGGAAAAATTGGAAGGTGCTTAGCGTCTTTTTTCTAAGGCAGGTGCAATACTAAGGGAAAATAGGAACAGGTTAAGCACTGAACACCTGTCTGAGCTGCTGTTCCTTAATTCAATATTTATTTTTATTTTATTTTGTATTTTTTTTTTTTTTTTTTTTTTTTTTTTTTTTTAGATTGTGTTACATTAATTGCTTCTACCTTTTATTATTGCAACTCATCGAACGTTTTCCAAATTTAGTGTCGATGATTTTTTTTCACTCACTCGTGGAGACAGATATTAGAAAACGTTAATATTTTACTCTATGTACGTCTATAAATAGTATAAACTTGAGAGTCAGGTTTAAAAAAAATAATACCGGTAAAATAGCCAACTAATTGGTTTGGGTTTTCAGCAAAATGCGCTGTAGAGTCATAGTCATAGATTATTTTATAAGCATACTTTGTAAAGATATTTGTATCCTAAATGACAGAAATACGTTGTCATTCGATTGTTCCTTCGTTTCTTTTCTTTTGCAAAAAGTAAATAATTATTTGTTAAATTCCGAGCACTGAAAGCAGAAAATTTGTCGTGGTTACTATTACCTGGAAATAAATTGTCCTTGTAATATAATCAGGAAAAGTGCCAAAGAATGCGAGTACAAATGGTGCACAATTTCAGAATCTTCCACAATGCGTTAAAATTCTGGCATCTTTGGAAGAACATAGAATATTTCCTTTTAATTTTAGCTTAAAAAATGTTAACTAGTATTTTTCTGAGCTTCATCCAACTAAATCTTTAAAAAATTAATTTGTATGCCAGAATATTTTAAAATACAAAATATTCTGGAAATCGTTCCCCAATTTGACGTTATAAAATACTAAATAAATAATAAACATAATTTCTACAGATACACGAGGTGAATAAAGGGATCACAAGATGTCATTCGCTAACCAATTGGTGCCCCAGGAGTGCAAGGGAAGCTAAAAAAAACTGGAAAAGTAACAGCGAATACGAAAAGAATCATTTATTATAATTGTGATTTAACAAAGAATTAAATGTAAATTGAAACCAAAAATACTAGTTGCTATACTACTGTATAGTCCCTTGCGAAAATACTGAGGACACCATTAAATTTTGGGTTGGCGTAAAGAATTTCAGAGACTCTTGCGGAAACAACCGGCTTTCTAAGCTGGCTTCTGCTATTTATTTTCCCAGAATTTAGGTTTTTTAGTTAATGATTATTATTATTTTTTTATTTATTTATTTTTATTTTATTTTGTATTTTTTTTTTTTTTTTTTTTTTTTTTTAGATTGTGTTACATTAATTGCTTCTACCTTTTATTATTGCAACTCATCGAACGTTTTCCAAATTTAGTGTCGATGATTTTTTTTCATTCACTCGTGGAGACAGATATTAGAAAACGTTAATATTTTACTCTATGTACGTCTATTAATAGTATAAACTTGAGAGTCAGGTTTAAAAAAAATAATACCGGTAAAATAGCCAACTAATTGGTTTGGGTTTTCAGCAAAATGCGCTGTAGAGTCATAGTCATAGATTATTTTATAAGCATACTTTGTAAAGATATTTGTATCCTAAATGACAGAAATACGTTGTCATTCGATTGTTCCTTCGTTTCTTTTCTTTTGCAAAAAGTAAATAATTATTTGTTAAATTCCGAGCACTGAAAGCAGAAAATTTGTCGTGGTTACTATTACCTGGAAATAAATTGTCCTTGTAATATAATCAGGAAAAGTGCCAAAGAATGCGAGTACAAATGGTGCACAATTTCAGAATCTTCCACAATGCGTTAAAATTCTGGCATCTTTGGAAGAACATAGAATATTTCCTTTTAATTTTAGCTTAAAAAATGTTAACTAGTATTTTTCTGAGCTTCATCCAACTAAATCTTTAAAAAATTAATTTGTATGCCAGAATATTTTAAAATACAAAATATTCTGGAAATCGTTTCCCGATTTGGAAAAATGATAAATTTGTCAGAAACGAAGTCGAAGTCGACTGTACTCGACAACGTATTTGTATATATTGCTCAAATTTAAATAGATTTAATTCCGGAATACTTTCAATAATTTTTTGTCGATTTCTGCTCCGAGAGCATTAAAGCTGCAAACTAGTGCGTGCCGAGACGAAAATAAAGATAATGACGAAAATCAGTGCAGAACAAATCATATGAGTTCGCTCGCCTGTAAGCATACTGCACGCCGAGACGAAGACAAAGATGAACACGAAACGCAGGCAATAGGCTTCAAACGCTGCTGCACTGCTTTTGATTTTGAGCAAAATGACTCCACAAAAAGTGTCACCCAATAAATCTCCCCAAAACGATAATCCAATAGAATGTTAATAAATATTTAAATATAAAAATATAATATTAGAACAAACAAAAATAAAAATTTAAAAAAAAATGTAAGAATACTAATATTAATACACTTACATATGTACATATATGTAATGTTATTATAGATATTAGATTTTTTGTTATTAATTTTTTAATGTAGAACTAGATTAGGCTGCCACTGAAGGTAGCAGTAAGCTGGTTAATAAAATATAAAAACGTTAGAAAAATAAAAATAAAACAAAATAAAATAAATAATTAAAATGCCTGCTATTTTACTGACTCTACTTGAATCTTCATCAAATCAATATTCTGATAATGCTTTATTCCCACAGGAACCGATCACTTTTGGTACATCAGGAAAAATTATTACTTTCTCGAATTAAGCTAAGCCAGTAAACAAACAAGTAATTAAATGAGAACTAAAAATAAATAAAACTAAATATATTTTAAATAATTTTTTTACCTTAACGTCACTATCAATTTTTCAGCATACATAATTGGGGTTTTATTAAAATTAGTCCGATTTTTAATAATTAGTGGTTCAATTTGTATTAAAATGTAATAAAATGTGCTTATTTTTATCCTAGTACATTCCACAAATATATTCTCATGTTGGCGCAGCTCATCAAGCAAATTATGAAATGCCTTTCTTCCCAAATTTATAGCGTGAATTTTTTGATTTACTTTCTTTCGTTTTAATTTCAAAAATAAACTTTGCTCATTCAACAGGTCATCATCTGGTGAGAAATCCATAGCGACTAACAGAACAAGACCTATTAGCTTAACTGCCACGCTAGCAATTTGTCTTCAGCTTCGTCTTCATCTTCGTATTCGTAACAGTCTAACGGTTGTTAGGGAATTGCACGGCTCAGCCCTGCTAACAGTGATGTCATTTCCGCTTTTTTGCCGTCAGATTTGGCTTTTTTTAAAGTGCGATTGCGGGAAAAATTTGAAAACAGCGGGCAGCGGGAATTCCAGCTTTTTTAGCAAATTCAAACCGCTTTTTTTTCAAAGTAAATTTTTTCTACATTTTTACAGCTGTTTTAACGATTTATATGTTAATAATATATTTTACGTAAAGTATCGATATTTACTTTAATAGACTAACCTTCTCTTAAAAATTCATACCGATATTGGCGCGTTATCTTCTCTAACATTGTTAAATTCGTTTGCGTAGTAAATCATGCCGAAGGAAGTTTATAAGCAAAAAGTGCGAGATGTGTGGCTACGGGCCACAGAATTCAAGGATTGGCTAAGGAAGGACCCCACAGACGCAACACGGGCGTATTGCAGTTATTGCAATTGCACAATAACTGCCAAATTAAGTGACTTGCAAGCGCATGCGGCTACAAAAAAGCACGCAGGCTCAATGGAGGGCTATGTGCAAAAAAACAAATTATCTTTTGTTCAATTGCCCACAAACACAATTGAGCAGGAGGCAGCGCTTTGTCTATTTGTCAAGGATATGATTTATGTTTAATAAAAATACCTATAGTTTGGTATTCATATACATATGTAATTAAAATCAGCTTTTTTGTCAACCTTTTTCCCTTGAATCCAGCTTTTTTCAGCTTTTTTTTTTCCTTGATCCAGCTTTTCTTGCTCAGAAAAAAATGACATCACTGCCTGCTAACTCTGCAGTGCTGAGTCTGTACGCAACTCTCGTTTTATTTCGCTGCAAGTGTGTGGTTGCGCATGGTGAGATTGTGCCAGATATCGTGGTGCAAAATAGTGTTCTCACCACGAGTGAGTGAGTCTTTTAACAGTGTGTTTTCTCTCTCTCGCCTGTAAGTGTGTGTGCGTTGGAGCTTGTGGTGAGTAGACGGTAAACTATTTTGAATGTTCCACGATTGAGTCTCCCTCACTCTTGTGTGTCTTTTAACAGTGGGTACAGTAGAGTGTTGCCAAACTAGCTATTTTCCTGTCGGGAATAAATGTGATACAGCTGCTGGCGGAAACGTTAGCTATTTTGAAATGTAAATTTACGATAATACTTGTGGCGAAATCTCCACATCGCACAAAGAAAATAACTAAGTACAAAGCTGCTTCAAAATGTTTTCAACAAAAAAACAAATTTAACTACATATGTACATTTGCATGTACATACATACATATGTAACTTTAAAATTTCTTTAAAAGAGGTCCTACGCCGCGTAGGCTACGGGCTGAATAAACCAAAACCACCACTTACGAAACGTCAACACTAATAACACTGTGTTGTTTGGTCAGTGCTAATAAGTAGCATGAAGAGAAATTTGCAGGCGGTTATTCAGTCAAACGGAGGACCAACGAAGTGCTAGCGTTATTCAGTGACCAAAACTTTGTTGATGAAAATTGGTGCCTATATTTTATATTTTATATACATATGTACATACATATTTAAGTACTATGTAAGTGAACTAAAGCAGAAACTTAATTTATCTTTTGTTCAATTTTATTAGAATACTTGATTCTAATACTTATCGTTATTTATTTATTTATAGCTATGCTCAAAAAAAGTTAAAAAAGTTACTTTTTTGACCCACAGGCTACGCAATCTCCAATCTCCAAGAAGCAACATTATGCTTCCATGTTGTGTAGTGAATTGAAACAAGTAAGAACGTTGCAGTCGGGCGATACCGATTGCAGAAGACTCATTCACAGCCCAAACGCTGTCAACCAGAGTATATAGTGCAATTTTCAAGTCTAGTGCGCAACAAAAAACAGGGCATGATCCCATTAAAATTGGAAAATCATCTATAGCTATTGCTATGATCATTGCATAATTGCATTCAAATTACATGCATATGTATATAATTTATACAATTTTGACTTTTAATAATATATATGTATTTATATCCATATATTGGATACCGGCTTCAAGCTAGCAGCAGATCAGCGCGATTTTACTATACATGTGCACACACTCATCGTCTATTCTGTCGTGCAGACAGAAGCGCGCCTTTTCTCACATTCTTAGAATATCGATTGATTTCTGGACTTTCTAGTTGTTACTGTAGTTTTGTCTGATGACGCTCTCTTATTAAGCTATTCTATTTTAGCAACTGAGTGCTCGAGCAAAGCAATGGCGCGGGTGCTAAGGGCGACGCAAGTAACGTTAGAGTAGGGGAGGTTCGAACCTCTACTATGTTTTTTTTTTTTTGTTTTTTTTTATACATATTTCGTTTTTTATAAAATAGATATTTTATTGGAAAGGTGCGAGATTGACTGAATGGCACTTAATACTTTTCATTTTCTTAGTCGAATAATTTTATAAGTTTAAATTTGTTTCTTCTTAAATAGCCCTCAAATACATATACGCAAATACATACATATGTATATATGTAAGTCTGCACGCATAGCATCAAGCATTCCAGCCTTATACACGGGCTCATTTGTATGTGTGTATGTATGCACACATAAATGCGTACTCTAGCATATTCTAAGAATCTCGTTGCGATTGATTTGTCTTTGCATTGTTTTTGAATTTCCAGCCACCACTCTGGCTTTTCTTTGCTGTGTGGCGTCATAACAATAATGTGATTTCGTTTTAACTACTGTTGATCGAAACGACTCGGTGGTGCTGTAGGCTGAAGCGCCGACGACCATTATTTTAGCTATTTTGACAAACATGCTGTTTGGGTTGGGTGCGAGTTCAAATCCCGCGGAAAACACTTTTTTGTAAATTGCAAATTTTTGTTATTTTAGCTTCTTTTAAATTTTTTTACATTCATAAAAATGTTTCTTTTTGTATTATGAATATCTATTAAGCTTATTTATATGTACAAATGCATAAATAGATGGCTGACGCATATAAATGTCGCAATACGGGCACTGTAAATGCCGATTGCCACGCCCCTAGTGGCCGTCGACTCCTCAATTTTAGCCAGTTCTTAGAACGAGCAACCGGCTACCTAAATGCAAAATTTGAATTCTTACGCTCAAAAAATGTGAAAATTACAGGGTATTTTTCTATATGCCACGCCCCTAAAGAGGCTTAAAAATTATTTTTGGGGCATCGATAGAGGCGGCTACCAGTAACTTAACTATCCAAATTTGAAGCTTCTAGCTCTTAAACTGTAGGAGATATAAACTTTTGCGTTTTGCCACGCCCCCTATGGGCGGACATATATCTACCATAGCTCGTTGGACTTGGGTGATCAACCCGCGTATATATACCAAATTTCATATCTCTAGCATCAATAGTGCCTAAAATATAGCAGAATTCGAAAAATCACTATATCTTCAGGTCCGATTTGCCACGCCCCTAGTGGGCGTAGATATATAATTTTTTCACCCATCTTCATAGAATTAAAACATTAGCTTACGTGCAAAATTTCAGCATTCTAGGTTTATAACTTTAGGAGATACAGTTTTGTCCGATTTGCCACGCCCATAATGGGCGGAGATATATCCGCCATAGCTTGTGATCTTGGGTGGTCGGCGCGGACCTACATAACAAATTTCAGCTTTCTAGCTCTTCAACAAACATGTTTTCTGGTATATCGGAAAATGCATTTTCCGATTTGCCACGCCCCTAGTGGGCGGATCGGGAAAATTTTAACACTTTATAAATCGGAGATAGACACGAGTATGTGTTCCAAATTTCAAGTCTCTAGCTTCAATAGCGCCGAAATAGATTGCGTTCATACGGACAGACGGACAGACGGACGGACAGCAAGACGGACATTGCACAAAACCAATATACTCATTTCACTTTCGTGAATGAGTCTAAAAATGGTAGTTCCGTTAAAAGTCATAGAACTGAGTAAAGCATGCCAAATGAAGAAATAATTTACCGCTGGAAACTTAATGCTGTTAACAGCAAGTACTTTTAATTTGCTTATGCGTGATAGAAAGATAGAGAATGTAACGGATGATAAGTATATATACATACATAAATACATACATATGTGCAAGTTCACAACATATATATGTATGTAATTATACATGTAGATATGTATGTGACACATAGACTCGTCGAAAAAAGTTTTTTGCACAGTATAATTTTATTATTATTACTACTACTCAACTTCGTATTTGCTCGGGCACTTACATTCAAACTCGGTCTACGACAATTTGGGAAAGCAAAATCATTTCGCTTCAAGCGCTCAGCCGAGATGGTCAAGTTTTGAACAAAGTCCCAAGCAAACAATCAAACAATCAAGCTTCCACAGTATGCGCGAATGTGCTGTTTCTTGCGTAAACAGAGATATTAGTTCCTTCCTTTCTCACTTGTTCAAACTGCAGTTAAGCAGCAGACATGATCAGGTTGGCTTTTGTTGCTTACCAAGTGGACAAAATTTCATGAGAGGCAAATGAAAGGAGGTGTGATGCAACAGTTCCTTCAGATTTTTTATACATATCTATCACAGATCTGCGTGAATGTGTTCACATCCAAAACCATAGTACTGTTATAGTAATAAAATGTGCTTGAAAGTACTGTACTATATATTCAACTATACAGTACTATGGTTTTGGTCACTTTTACAGTGACTGACCGTAATAGCTGTACTCTTCTTAAATGAGTACGATTTTTGTCTCTTTTCCACACGTTGTACACCAAACTTCAGTAAAGATATTTAGAGCCGCTAATGAAAATGATGCAAACGCAATAAATGCAGATGCAAGTGTAAGTTTAAAAAAAAAAATATTTTATTTGACCTATTGATGATAAATTTATAAGAAATGTGTTATTTTATAATATTTGTGTTTGTTTCGTCTTTGTATTTGTCTTTTGCAAGTTATATGTATACAGTCTGTCAAGAAACACTTTA